AGAAATAGTGAAAATCATAACTTATTTCTTAACATAGCAAAAACAAAGATAATGCATACAAACAAAACTGCCATGGAGAAGGAAATATATGTTAATGAGGAAAGATTGGAAGTGGTGGAAAATTTCGAATATCTTGGGTCACTGGTTATCAACAATGGTGACACAATGAAAGAAATTAAACGGCGACTATCAATTGCTCTTCAAAGACTAAAACACTGAATAAATTATGGAATTGTACAGATAGAATTACAAAGGTCAGATTTTTAAGAGCATGCATCTTTCCCATTGCAACATACGCCTGTGAGACCTGGACACTTACTAAACAAGCGGACAGCGCATAAATGCATTTGAATATAAATGTTACAGACAGGTTCTAAGAATATCTTGGGTAAAGAAAAGAACAAATGCATCCATACTTCAAGAGCTGAATATTGAAGAGGGTTGGCTAGTAAAGACAATAAAACAAAGAAAATTGAAATATTTTGGTCACTTGAAACGTCATGGAAGTCTAGAGAGAACAATAATGAAGGGGTATATGCCTGGGAAGAGAGGAAGAGGAAGGCCAAGGAGAAGATGGGTGCAGGATGTGGCAGATGATCTCCAGATGGGTGTATCAGACGCAGGACATCTTACTCAGGATAGGAAGGTTTTCCGGAGGGTTGTTGTGGCAGCGAGGTTCCGCGAGGGACATGCTACTGAATGAATGAATGTGGTATGTATGTGTAAATATGTGTGTATGTGGTGCATTTGTGTCTGTAAGGGATTGAGTTGGTTTGCGTGTGTGTGTGGGTGTGTATGTGTGGGCGCATGCAGTTTACCAACCATGCTTCTGTGTTTTCTCTAAGTATTCATAATATGTATATTATTATACGAAAATAACATGTGTTATTAATAAAATACAACTGCTGTGTGATAGATGAGAGTCTGGAAGGGCTAAATGTAAGGCGTGCCTAATTTGTGACTTTTTGAAAATAAAGTTCGTTCGTTCGTTCATGTATGTGCGCGCGTGTGTGTTACACAAAATAAAAATATTAGCACAAGACCCAGCAGTGTTATGTAGGTACAGTTTAGGGAAAGATAGGACACACACACACACACACACACACACACACACACACACACACACAGAGAGAGAGAGAGAGAGAGAGAGAGAGAGAGAGAGAGGGGGGGGGGAACAAAAAAGCACAATACCAAAGGAACATGATATACATGCTAGATGCTATGGGAATTATTGCTAAATCAATCACGCACATTCTTGAAATCGGACGTTCTGGAGGTTTCCTTTGATATAATCAGTCATATTCAAGTTTAGCTATAGTTATTTTACAATATGTATGTATGTGTGAGTGCGAGCGCGCTGTATCTAAGAAAAAGTAAGTACCTGTGTGTGTTTGCTCGAGCCCGCCTGTGTGCGTGTGTGTGTGTTTATGCCCCCCTCCCTACACCCCGTATACAGTTTGACTCGGCTCTCCCTCAAGGCTGAAAGTAAGTACCTGTGTGTGTGTTTATGCCACCCGTATACAGTTTCACTGGGCTCTCCCTCAAGGCTGAAAGTAAGTACCTGTGTGTGTGTTTATGCCACCCGTATACAGTTTCACTGGGCTCTCCCTCAAGGCTGAAAGTAAGTACCTGTGTGTGTTTATGCCACCCGTATACAGTTTCACTCGGCTCTCCCTCAAGGCTGAAAGCAAGTACCTGTGTGTGTGTTTAGGCCACCCGTATACAGTTTCACTCGGCTCTCCTCAAAGGCTGAAAGTAAGTACCTGTGTGTGTGTTTATGCCACCCGTATACAGTTTCACTCGGCTCTCCCTCAAGGCTGAAAGTAAGTACCTGTGTGTGTGTGTGTTTATGCCACCCGTATACAGTTTCACTCGGCTCTCCCTCAAGGCTGAAAGTAAGTACCTGTGTGTGTGTTTATGCACCCGTATACAGTTTCACTCGGCTCTCCCTCAAGGCTAAAGTAAGTACCTGTGTGTGTGTGTGTTTATGCCACCCGTATACAGTTTCACTCGGCTCTCCCTCAAGGCTGAAAGTAAGTACCTGTGTGTGTGTTTATGCCACCCGTATACAGTTTCACTCGGCTCTCCCTCAAGGCTGAAAGTAAGTACCTGTGTGTGTGTTTATGCCACCCGTATACAGTTTCACTCGGCTCTCCCTCAGTGCTGAAAGTAAATGGACAGAGAGATAAGTGCAAGTGCCATGGACGGAGATGGAGATGTGGCGGTTAGGAAATCAACGGACACATATCGGACACTGCCGGACTATCACTGTCATCACTGAGCTTCGGTCAACATTCTTCTCCCTCGCGAGGCCGTCTGCCGAGTGGCGAGCGTTAGGGGGCCGTCCGCCGGGTCGCGAGCGTTAGAGGGCCGTCCGCCGGGTGGCGAGCGTCAGGGGCCCGTGCAGTATCAGTGTGGCTTTCTGACGATGGCTGTTGCTGTTTTCGCTACCAGGGAACCACGGGATTTGTTGGTAAAGCCAGGAATAAGCACTGATTGTGTACTTGACAACATCCAGGCACAGTTGTTTCCAGCTGGCCTTGTCAGGACAGTCGTCTTTTCGTAGCATGGCATGGATGTACGTTAAACTTGGCTACCTGACCTGTTTTCATTGACCGGAATAAGTCTCCGCTGGTCAAGTGTCCGGTCTCGAGGAGAAATGTCACACACCTGGAGAGCCAGGTATGTCAGCCACTGTTGTCCTGACTTTGTACTTGTCTGCTTCTGTCTCATGGCCACAATGACTCAACAATTGTTGCCTCATTTGGTAATAGATTGTGCTATAGATAATGACAATATTAATTATACATCAAGGTTATAGTGAGTTGCACAATTTATGATACTATATGACTGACTTCCCCGCCTACATGCCAGGAGCCGATTTAGGGGTAGGGGGTAAATCCACCGTCGTCAAAAGAAGCATGTCGTAAGTACCAAATAAGAATTTGCTTAAAAAGCATAAGTTGGACGGGAAAGAATTAAGTCTCGCAAGCTTTCTATAAATCATAACAGTGCAGCATGCCAATAAGCCTGCAGAGAAAAAAAAAGAAAAAAAAAAGACAAAGACAAAGAAAAAGAAGAGGAAGAAAAAGAAAGAAAAAGAAGAAGAAGAAGAAAAGAGGAAGAAAGAAGAAGAAGAAACAAGAAGAGAAAAAAAAAAAGAAGAAAAAGGAGAAGAAGAAGAAGAAAAAGAAGAACAAGAAGAAGAATAAGAAGAACAAGAACAAAAAGAAGCCAAATAAGAAAAAGAAGAAGAAGAAGAAGAAGAAGAAGAAGAAGAACTAGAAGAAGAAGCAGAAGAGAGAAAAAAAAAAAAAGAAACAAAAAAAGAAGAAGCAGAAGAAGCAGAGGAACAAGCAACAACAGCAGAGTGCTAACTAAATCTGCGTGTGCCATGTTCAGTGTATAAAATAGCGTATCATGTTGTCTATGACAGTGATCCATCTCAGATCAGTCATAGACACACACATGATGTCAGCTGTAGACACACATATGATATCAGCTGTAGACACACAATTGATGTCAGCTTTAGACACACAATTGATGTCAGCTGTAGACACACACGTGATGTCAGCTGTAGACACACACGTGATGTCAGCTGTAGACACACACGTGATGTCAGCCGTAGACACACAATTGATGTCATCTGTAGACACACACGTGATGTCAGCTGTACACACACACGTGATGTCAGCTGTAGACACACACGTGATGTCAGCTGTACACACACAATTAATGTCAGCTATAGACACACGTGATGGCTGCTGTAGACACACACGTGATGTCAGCTGTAGACACACACTTGATGTCAGCTGTAGACACACACGTGATGGCTGCTGTAGACACACACGTGATGTCAGCTGTAGACACACACGTGATGGCTGCTGTAGACACACAATTGATGTCAGCTGTAGACACACACTTGATGTCTGCTGTAGACACACAATTGATGTCAGCTGTAGACACACACGTGATGTCAGCTGTACACACACAATTCATGTCAGCTGTAGACACACACTTGATGTCAGCTGTAGATACATACATGACGTCAGCTGTAGACACACAATTGATGTCAGCTGTAGATACACACGTGATGGCTGCTGTAGACACACAATTGATGTCAGCTGTAGACACACACTTGATGTCAGCTGTAGACACACAATTGATGTCAGCTGTAGACACACACGTGATGTCTGCTGTAGACACACAATTGATGTCAGCTATAGACACACACGTGATGTCAGCTGTAGACACACACGTGATGGCTGCTATAGACACACAATTAATGTCAGCTGTAGACACACACGTGATGGCTGCTGTAGACACATTTGATGTCAGCTGTAGACACACACTTGATGTGAGCTGTAGACACACACGTGATGGCAGCTGTAGACACACACGTGATGGCAGCTGTAGACACACAATTGATGTCAGCTGTAGACATATCGGCCCGACATAAAGTAGCAGCATGCCAGTAAACCTGCAAAGAAAAAAAAAAGAAAAAAAAGACAAAGACAAAGAAATAGAAGAGGAAGAAAAAGAAAGAAAGAAGAAGAAGAAGAAGAAGAAGAAGAAGAAGAAGAAAAGAAGAAGAAAGAAGAAGAAAAATAAAAAACAAGAAGAAGAGAAAACAAAAAGAAGAAAAAGAAGAAGAAGAAAGAAAAAGAAGAACAACAAGAAGAATAAGAAGAACAAGAACAAGAAAAAGAAGAAAAGAAGAAGAAGAATAACTAGAAGAATAAGCAGAAAAGGAAAAAGAAGAAACAAAAAAGAAGAAGCAGAAGAAGCAGAGGAACAAGCAACAACAGCAGAGTGCTAACTAAATCTGCGTGTGCCATGTTCAGTGTATAAAATAGCGTATCATGTTGTCTAGGACAGTGATCCATCGCAGATCAGTCATAGACACACACTTGATGTCAGCTGTAGACACACATGATGTCAGCTGTAGACACACAGTTGATGTCAGCTGTAGACACACATGATGTCAGCTGTAGACACACATGAGGTCAGCTGTAGACACACACTTGATGTCAGCTGTAGACAAACACATGATATCAGCTGTAGACAAACACATGATATCAGCTGTAGACACACAATTGATGTCAGCTGTAGACACACACGTGATGTCAGCTGTAGACACACACGTGATGTCAGCTGTAGACACACAATTGATGTCATCTGTAGACACACACGTGATGTCAGCTGTACACACTTACGTGATGTCAGCTGTAGACACACATTTGAAGTCAGCTGTACACACACAATTAATGTCAGCTATAGACACACACGTGATGGCTGCTGTACACACACATGTGATGTCAGCTGTAGACACACACTTGATGTCAGCTGTAGAAACACACGTGATGGCTGCTGTAGACACACACGTGATGTCAGCTGTAGACACACAATTGATGTCATCTGTAGACACACACGTGATGGCTGCTGTAGACACACAATTGATGTCAGCTGTAGACACACACGTGATGGCTGCTGTAGACACACAATTAATGTCAGCTGTAGACACACACGTGATGTGAGCTGTAGACACACAATTGATGTCAGCTGTAGACACACACATGATGTCAGCCGAACACACACAATTGATGTCAGCTGTAGACACACACTTGATGTCAGCTGTAGATACACACATGACGTCAGCTGTAGACTCACACTTGATGTCAGCTGTAGATACACACATGCTGTCATCTGTAGACACACAATTGATGTCAGCTGTAGATACACACATGATGTCAGCTGTAGACACACACTTGATGTCAGCTGTAGACACACACGATGTCAGCTGTAGATACACACATGATGTCAGCTGTAGACACACAATTGATGTCAGCTGTAGACACTCACGTGATGTCAGCTGTAGACACACACTTGATGTCAGCTGTAGACACACCCGTGATGTCAGCTGTAGACACACACGCGATGTCAGCTGTACACACACAATTAATGTCAGCTGTAGAAACACAATTGATTTCATCTGTAGACACACACGTGGTGTCAGCTGTACACACATACGTGATGTCAGCTGTACACACACACGTGATGTCAGCTGTACACACACAATTAAAGTCAGCTGTACACACACACGTGATGTCAGCTGTACACACACAATTAATGTCAGCTGTAGACACACAATTGATGTCATCTGTAGACACACACGTGATGGCTGCTATAGACACACAATTAATTTCAGCTGTAGACACACACTTGATGTCAGCTGTAGATACACACTTGATGTCAGCTGTAGACACACACTTGATGTGAGCTGTAGATATACACTTGATATCAGCTGTAGACACACACTTGATGTGAGCTGTAGATACACACGTGATGTCAGCTGTAGACACACAGTTGATGTCAGCTGTAGTCACACACGTGATGGCTGCTGTAGACACAATTGATGTCAGCTGTAGACACACACTTGATGTTGAGCTGTAAACACACACGTGATGGCAGCTGTCGACATACACGTGATGGCAGCTGTAGACACACAATTGATGTCAGCTGTAGATATATCGGCCCGACATAAAGTAGCCAAAATGACGATTGGTCCGATCGGTCGGCCCTATGTAATATAAGCATTAAGATTGGCTGGCGGGTTTTCGTACCAGCCATTCAGATTGCTTCTCCCATTTTTTGCACATGTGGGCTGTTTATTGACGGCTTTCACGAAAGTTTGATGCTTTCGGTTATTTTAAATCAAATTGGAGTGGGGGGGGGGGGGGGGGGGGGGGTGGGGGCTACTACCGGTGCCCAACAATGGCTAAAAGGACTCTTGCTTCATAGCAACCGAAGTATCGTTGGAGGCAGGAAAATAGGTAGGACCATGTAACAGAAATGTCTGAAGGGCCTGCAAGGGCCTTACTTCATAAAATACAAGTATTAGGACTTATTCAAGCTTCATCTATAAAAAGATTCATCTAATTTTCTTTGGTTTAGTCATGTTTGTTCTTAAGTTTAAAAAAAAATGCGTGCATAAATTATGCGAATCAGAATAGTTAATTTTCAAACATGTCGAGATTTCAGTTTGATTTATGAATTTTCTGTTAGCTCATCCAATTTCCTACACAAATATGTATAGTTTTGTTTATGGTAATTAAACCTTTATTTTTCTTTAAATAAATTTGTGTGTATAAACTGTGAGAATCCCATGCTGAAGGTTTCGTCTTTTTGGCACTGAAACTCCAATAAAGCTCCGTCTCCGGAAGGGGGGGGGGGGGGGGGGGGGAGGGGGTTGGTGTCCGGTGTCCTAGGCAATGTGGACCGGTGACAGACATTTACAGTTGGCTACAAACTGAACACATCCGGCAGTCTTTTGTCCCTAACAGACATACATACACATGCATAAACACATACACATGGGATGGGGTGGGAGAGTGAGTGTGAGTGACTTTCTACCCCACTAGGACATCACACAAGCGATAAACACCCGATGACACAACGTGCCACCATGTGGATGAGGATCACCCGTGGAGAGGTCCCAGA